ATAAGTAAGTAAGTAAATAAGTAAGTAAATAAGTAAGTAAGTAAATAAGTAAGTAAATAAATAAATAAATAAGTAAATAAATAAATAAATAAATCCAACTCATGAAACATGCCAGGACAGAAGTGATGGTACCCCTGAAAATAATGTGACCAAAGGGACGTGTTAAATCAAAGTGTGTCACTAATTACCATCACAGGTTATAGGTAAAGGTTATAAGACCTGGTTAAATTACACAAACAGGTTGTTTAGAAGCTCCTGTCACACAGGGACTGCTGTGTGTTGAATCATAATTCTGCATGTATAACTTAGCTGCCTCTGTAAATCTCTTATAAACCTAGAATTTGATAGAACAGAAGTTTTGTTAAAAACTTGCTTCACCTGAGCTTTAAATGAAGGTTTACAGTCTGTACCAACATAAAGAYACGTGTGTTCAGGTGTGACTTGTTGCCTCAGACTGTTTCAGACACGAGGTTGCAAACAGCCTGCTTTAACCACGCTGTGACATGAACCGKACACACCTCGTCCACACAGGAAATGTTTGAGCATTTCAGCTCTGTGTTCACGCAGTTGTGGCATTTTATTAGTCCCACAACATGCTGGAGTAGATGGTCAATCATTCAGGACATGGTAAATCCAAAGTTTTTAAAAACAAAGCAACTGTACTTTCATCCAATTCCATCTCATTTCAGAACCGCAGAGTGTGGATTTCCAAGCTTTAGCCCCAAAACAGTACAGTTTTTGTATGGACAGAAAACACACAACAAAACATCTTGATAGCCCCGCCCCCTGCTGTGGTCAGGTACTAAGTCTGATTCAGTCATTTAAAACCACTACAACTGGAGTAAACCTAAAGATTTATTGATATATACAGTAGAGTTAACTATAACTGTTTATCATTAGATCTCTGCTGAAGACTTGTTGACTTCTTTMTAACAGATTTTATAATTCTGTACACAAACAGATCCATCAGACTGATTATTGAGTCTAAGTACAGAAACACTACAGAGAAGTAAAGTTCCTGGGCTGAAGCAGAGTGAGATGCATTAATGTGTGACTGGTGCCTCCCTCATGTCCATCACTAACATACTGACTGAATTTACTCAGCTTTACTTTGACATGTCTTTACTTTCTGCTGTAATCTGACCCAATGAACAACTCTTAATCTGTTTGTGTAAATGTTCTCCAAACATCAACACAACAGAGTTCTGTTTCACGAAGGATAAAATGCCTGACGTTTGTCATCTGATTTTATTTTGAAGGGTTAGTCTCGTCCTGCTTGCATTTTACAGATTGAGGAGAAAATGCGTAAAAAAGCTGCTGAGAGGGAGCGGCTCCGGCTGGAGGAGGAAAGGGAGGAGAAGAGGCTGGCAGAACAGAGAGCGCGCATCCAGAGGGAGTACGAGGAGGAGCAGGAGAGGAAGAGACGCAAGGAAATGGAGGTGAACTGAAACTAAAGTCAGGATGGATTGATTTGTTGGTGGATGAAGCTGATTTACTCTGGTTGTCCTCATCTCTGACCGGCAGCAAAAGGCGAAGAACGAGGAGCTGATTCAGCTGGCTGAGCAGAGGAAGACTGATGCAGAGAGGAGGAAGAAGGAGGCTGAGGAGGAGGAGACGGCAGAGAGGAGGAGACGATATGAGAGAGAGAGACAGGCACGAGTAGACGAGGTCTGTCACAAATGAACCGTCTCACAGCCTCATCTGATCAGTGACGGAGCAGTGGTGTTGACTTTAAAGTGCCTGTCACATGCTTTTTATTCACTCACAAAAAATAAAAGAAAATATCCTAATATTTAAGAAAATTGGCATCATTCACATGATTTTCACCCCGTTTGTCACAAAACATGCATATTATTTTACTGAATTTGGTGCATCAAACCAGGAGGGTAAATAAAAACAGTTTGTTGTTGTCAGGTGCACAGAGAGCCATCGCCTCCAATCCCCACTCTGCTGAGGAAACAAGGGAGACACCAGCCCCTGCCCAGACCTCCAGCTGTTAACAGCCAAAACTACACAGCTCCTCTGTCTGTGAGTACCTCTCTCACACACTAATGTACACACAGCTTTGTTTTTATATCCCCGTTGGGACGGTGGATTGACTTCCATTCATTTTCTGGTAATTTTATATCTTAACCCTGATCATTTACACTAAACCTAACCTCACATGTACCCTAAACCTGATCTCACAGGTACCCTACACCTAACCTCACAGGTACCCTAAACCTAACCTCACAGGTAACCTAAACCTAACTTCACATGTACCCTAAACCTATCCCTAAAACTAACCTCACCTGTACCCTAAACCTAATCTCACAGGTACACTAAACCTAACCTCACAGGTACCCTAAACCTAACCTCACAGGTACCCTAAACCTAACTTCACATGTACCCTAAACCTATCCCTAAAACTAACCTCACCTGTACACTAAACCTAACCTCACAGATACCCTAAAACTATCCCCAAAACGAACCTCACATGTATCCTAAAACTAACCTCACGGGTACCCTAAACCTAATCTCACAGGTTCCCTAAACCTAACTTCACAGGTACCCTAAAACTATCCCTAAAACTAACCTCACAGGTACCCTAAACCTAACCTCACAGGTACCTTAAACCTAACCTCACTGGTACCCAAGAACTATCCCTAAAACTAACCTCACATGTGCCCTAAAACTAACTTCACATGTACCCTAAACCTAACCTCACAGGTACCCTAAAACTAACCTCACAGGTACCCAAAAACTAACCCCACTGGTACCCTGAAACTAACCCCACAGGTAACCTAAAACTAACCCCACAGGTACCCTAAAACAAACCTGACAGGTACCCTAAAACTAACCCCACAGGTACCCTAAACCTAACCTCACAGGTACCCTAAAACTAACCTCACAGGTACCCTAAAACTAACCTCACAGGTACTCTAAAACTAACCCCACTGGTACCCTAAAACTAACCCCACAGGTAACCTAAAACTAACCTCACAGGTACTCTAAAACTAACCTCACAGGTACTCTAAAACTAACCCCACTGGTACCCTAAAACTAACCCCACAGGTACCCTAAAACTAACCCCGCAGGTACTCTAAAACTAACCTCACAGGTACCCTAAAATTAACCTCACAGGTACCCAAAAACTAACCCCACAGGTACCCTAAAACTAACCCCACAGGTACCCTAAAACTAATCTGACAGGTACCCTAAAACTAACCTCACAGGTACTCTACAATTAACGTCACAGGTACCCTAAAACTAACCTCACAGGTACTCTACAACTAACATCACAGGTACCCTAAAACTAACCTCACAGGTACCCTAAAACTAACCCCACAGGTACCCTAAAACTAACCCCACAGGTACCCTAAAACTAACCTCACAGGTACTCTACAATTAACGTCACAGGTACCCTAAAACTAACCTCACAGGTACTCTACAACTAACATCACAGG